AAAGAAATAAATATAAATAAATAATTTTAAATTAAATTCTTATCTAAAAATCTCACAAACTATTATCATAAATCACCAATACCACTCACTAAATTATTAATATCTCAAAAATACGGGGTGTCACAAAACATCACTATGTAGTAGGGAAAAAGGTTTATTAATAGATGAGTTAGACCAATGGAAAGGAAGTCGATAACTCTTAGCAACACAGGGGTCAATACAATCAAGTGAAGTGACAGATTTATTTGAAGTAAGCTGCAAATAAAGAACAAGATGCTGAAATTTCAAACTACTATGATGGCATAGTCTATTATGCCAAACAATACTAGAAGCAGGTAATGAATTGTTAACAAAAGAATCTTGTGCAGAATGAGCAGTAGATGTGAGTGGTGTTGTGGTTTGAGCAACAAAGGCAGCAGATGATGATGTGTGATTGATTTATGGAAGAAAATGATATAATCCATTGAGGTTAGATCCTTGGTGAAGAATGTTCTTCGTAACTTTGTCCTGAATGACAAACTTGGCTTCATCAAAACTAATGATACAATTATTATGTTGAGCCAACTTTTGAACAGAAACAAGATTAGAAGACATAGAATCAGCGTGAAGAACATTACTAAGTTTGAAAGAATAATGAGGGGTATGAAGGAGACCATTATTAGTATTTGAATTAGAATCGAATTTCCATCAACTATGGTAATGTGATCTGAGCCTGGATAAGACTGATAGCTACTGAGATGACTCAAATCATTAGTAATGTGGTCGATGGCTGCAGAGTCTAAGTACCAAGGACTAGATTGAAAATCTGTAGGAGCCTGAGACAAATGTGAGGAAGAAGCACTAGAACCAAGTAAAAAAGAAACAAGAAGAGCTCTAGGTTGCTGAGAATAAGAGAATTGGGAGGATGGAGAGTGAGAAGAGGTATTTGAAGATGACTGAAATTGAGGATCCAAGCGATGCCAACAATCCAGTGCAAAATGACTTACTCCTCCCCAAATTTGACAACCTTGAGTAGAATAAACCTGATTGAAATTTCTTCCTCTACTTCAGTTGTTGTAGTAGTATCTACCATTGCATCTATAGGATCTGGAATTTGGACCGCCTCTTCCACCTCTATAGGAAGATATCTTCCTCCAGAATAATTGAAATTTGGTGCACATGAAGAAGAAGTAGCAGATCCTTTAACAGAAGAGAAAGCAACAGTTAGTTCTGCAACCTTCTTTTGCTTAGCTTCCAAATGGATTGCCTCAGAACACAGCATATATGATAGATCATCCATAGTAATAGTATCAGATCGAGCACGAATTGTTGTGGTGAAAGCATCATATTCAGATGGCAAGCCATTCAAAGTGATTAACACCCAATCTTCATCATCAACAATTACTGAAGCAAACGCTAATTGACTAACTAAGGCCTTGATCTTCGAGAGATACTCCTCCATTGTATCAGATTTCTTGGAAACAAGATTCAACTTGTTCTTCAATGGATGAATATGAGATCTAACAAGAGATGTAAATCTCTTGTGAAGAGAAAACCAGATCACAGAACAGTGCTAGAACTGAAGCACAGTATAATAGATTTGTGGTGTAAGTATAGCAGTGATATAGCTCAACAGATGAGCATGGATCATACGCCATTGAAGAAGATCTAGATTAGGAACCTCTAGTCCTGTTGAATCTATAATTGTAAGAGTAGGACATGGTGTTGAACCATCAACAAAACCAATGAGATTAGTAGCTCTGAGAATATTAGACAATTGAGTCTTCTAGATGATAAAGTTGGATCCATCAAGCTTTACAGTGACAACTAATGAAAATTGGAGATTAGTAGAATTAAATTTGAACGAATTGAAGAAGCAAAACAGATGAAGATAGAGAAGATGAAGTTGCTATGGATCAGGAACTCATGAGAGACTAGAGCTCTGATACCATGAAAAAAAACTGAAACCAATCTTATTTCATAATCTCTTTCTCCATACTTTACGCATATCATTCTTTACTTTATATATACAAATCAGAGGCTAACTAACTATTCTAACTATCTAACAACCTACTGATAAATGTCTAACCATCTAACTGACTAAAGATATATTCTCATGAGGTAGCAGCACAAGAATGCCACAATGAGACCGCAGCTCTGCTCCTTGAACTGATGCAGTTATATGAGCTTGAACTGGAACTGGAATGTCAACACACACACACACACACACACACACACACACACACACACACACACAGATTTATCTCTGTAATGAAGACCCAGGAAAAAAAAGAAAAAAAAAACGAAGGAAGGAGAGAGAGAGAGAGAGAACGCTAAGCAAGATGAAGCAAAAAAAATTCAAAACCAACTAGCACAAATGGACCTTAATGATCTGCTAATCAATCAATCAACATAAATGGGATTCACTAAAACTAATATAAACGCAAGAACACAAAGAATAATAATAGAGAGAGAGAGAGAGAGAGAGAGAGCGCCAGACTAATAAGAAAACCTAGTATCCAGAGAAAACATTTCTAGAGAGAAAAGAGTTTATGTTCATCCATTTTAAGCCCAAATCAATAATGGGTTTCCTATCATTTCTCTTCTCTCTCCTTCTTTTCTTCACACTTGCTTACCCTTTACCTATTTGTGGAAATGTCGTGCTCAGATCACTCATGAACATGAAGGCAAGTCTTGACCCAGATGTTAAGATATTGAAGATTGGTTAGATTACTGAAGTAAGATTTGAGATCATAAGAAAAAGACCCATGAGGCCATAAATCTGGATCAATAGTCGCCACCTTGAACCTCAGATTTTCGAAGCAAAGAAACAATTCTCAGATTTTCGAACCCAGATTTTCATTTTGATCTATCATTTGACTAGATTGTGTGAGTCCAGATCCTCGCGACTGCCGTGACACTCATCTTCGTCTTTGGTGATTCGTGCTTCAGCTCTGTGTCATCTGAGGGCTTAGAGAGTAAAGAAAATAGGGGAAAAGAAAAAAAGAAAAAAAAATACCAAAATGATGTCGTTTAAGTACCACGGTTGGAAGCGCTGCAAGGTATCACGGCAGTGGATCCAGACTCAAAAATATAACCACGTGATATCTCTAAATAAACCAATAATTTTTTGTAGTCTCGTCATACATCTATTATTGTAGGCAACATTCAACTTGTTTGATTTTGAGTTTTAGAAAACACTTTTCATAAGATTCAATTTTTTTTATTTTTCGTATTTTTTTGTTTTTAATGATTTTTTTAGGGTGTGTTTGGTAACGTTTACGCTTTCAATTTATATTTACAAAAATTTTATAAACTGATTTTTGTTTATTTTTCGAAAAACATAAGCTACAAACGCGTTTGGTAATTGACAAAATGTTTAAAAAAATTAAAAAATATAAAAAAGAGTGAGAAATGACAAGTGGTGGCAAGTGGCCGCGGAAGACGGCGGTGGAAAGTGCGTGACGGGGGTGGTGGTGGTGGTGTGGGTGGGTGACGGTGGCGGGTGTAGCGATGGGTGGTGGCGGGTGGTGGGTGGTGGTGGCAGTGGGTGGTGGCAGGTGGGTGGTGGTGGCGGGTAGTGGTGGTGGGTGACAGTGGCGGGTGGTGGTGGCAAGTGGGTGGCAGATGGCGGGTGGTGGTGGGTGGTGGAGGGTGGTGATGCAGTGGGTGGGTGGGCGGGTGGGTGGGTGACGGTGGCGGTGGTGGTGGTAGCGAGTAGGTGGTGGTGTGGTGGCGGTGGCAGGGGTAACGGATGGCGGGTAGGTGGCGGGTGGTGGTGGTGGTGGTGGGTAGGTGGGTCACGGTGGCGGGTGGTAGGTAGTAGCGAGTGGGTGGTGGTCGTGGGTGGTGGGTGGTGGGTGGTGGTGGCAGGTGAGTGGTAGTGGTGGTGGGTGGCTGGTGTTAGGTGTGGTAGGTGGGTGGTGAGTGGTGGTGGCAAGTAGGTGGCGGGTGGTGGATGGTAGTGGCGGTGGTGGGTGGGATGGCAGGTGGGTGGTGGTGGTGGTGGTGGGTGGAGACGAGTGGTGGCGGTGAAAGACGATGGTGGAAAATGATGGCGGATGGTGGTGGCGGAAGACGGTGGTGGAAAATGGTGGCCGGTGATGGCTAGTGTTGGGTGGTAAAAAAAAAAAAAAACCCAAAACTCAAAACGGAAACACATTTTTTGTGTTTTCATTTTTTGGCCAAATTTATAAACTGAGACCACTGATTTATAAATCAAAAATTTTACCAAACAAGTTTTTATTTCAGTTTTTAAAATTTTTGTAAATATAAGCAGAAAATTGAAAACGTAAGTGTTACCAAACGACACCTTAATATTTTAAGCAATTTTTTTAATTTTTAGACACACCAAACATAAATACACTTAAAAATTATAATATTTCTAAAAAAAAACTCTAAAAATTCAATAAATACCAAAATACAAAAAATATATCTATATATTTGAAAATTCAATACATTTTTCGTATTTTTGAATATTTATTAATTTTTAAAATATTTTTTTACAAATATTTTACTATTTAGATGCATCTAAGTAAGGTGCATCTAAAAAAAATTATTTAAAATTTTAAAAATATTTACTAAAAACAAAAAAAACAAAAAAAAAATAATTTTCTGAAAATTGAATTTAAAAAACTGAAATCAAATGCATTGATTCATTTTAGGGACGTTACACAAATGCACCAATTTCAAATCTAAATTATATATTTTAATTTTGAATAAATAATATTTTATGAAAAAAATTAAAAATTAAAAGAAAAAAAGTTGAGGGACTAGCGCTGAAAAAATTACACAATAATCCCGAATTAATAATTATTTATTATATTCTTTCATATTTTCAAATCATTCAATACAAATAATTAATATTTCATATTTTTCGCCAATTATACGTAAATAATCACCCATAAGGCTGCAACATGCTCCACGTCGCCTCTCCAAACTCAAACCATCAATGGGCCCCTCTCTCTACATATCTTTGGTAGGTGCAACCACCACGGTCCACACCTTTTAATACACTACTATTTAGCACCACCAACCCAACCATGAACCACAAAAATACGTCACCGACAACAATGGAGGTTAAGATCTCCGAAACCACCACTGTCTACCCCTCCACACCTCCCTTCCACCACCACCACATCCTCCCTCTCTCCCTCCTCGACACCGACCCCAACCTCCACGTCACCTTCCGCTACCTCCGTGCGTACGTTAGCACCAACCACCACCACCCCACTGCCGCCACCACAGATCCCTTCCACATCATCACCACCGCCCTCTCCGCCACCCTCCTCCACTACTACCCCTTCACTGGAACTCTCCGCCGCCGCCACGTGGACGGCCGGCTCGAGCTACACTGCGCCGCGGGCAAAGGTGTCCCGGTAGTTCGCGCCAATGTGGACTGTTCGTTAGACTCGGTTAACTACCTTGACGACCCGGCTGAGAATTGGATTGAAACCCTGGTACCCGACCCGAACCCGGATGATGCGTTGAAAAACCCGTTGGTTTTACAGGTCACGACTTTCGGGTGTGGCGGGTACAGTCTCGGGGCTTCGGTGCATCACTCGTTGTGTGATGGACTCGGTGCAACTCAGTTTTTCAATGGTATGGCTGAGTTGGCTCGCGGAGCAAGCCAGTTATCGGTTGAACCGGTTTGGGACCGGGCTAGGTTGCTTGGACCCAGAGACCCGCCTAGGGTGGAATTTCCGGTTCATGAGTTTCTGAGGTTGGATAAGGGCTTTTCTCCATATTCGTCGTCTAGTGGACCGGTTGTGAGGGAGTGCTTTCATCTGAGGGAAGAGTGGTTGGACCCGTTCAAGGGGTTTTTGCGTGAACGTTCCGGTTCAAGCTACACGACATTTGAAGCTTTGGGTGCTTTCATTTGGCAGACAAGGTAACAATTTAACCTCAACTCAATGCTTTTGTTTGGGTTGTTTCAGATTGGTTATAATAGATGATTGATTATATTTTTATTTTATTTTGAAACTAAAATAAAAATGTACATGTCGCATGTATTATGTATTTTTTGGCAGAATTATAAATTTAATGAACAATTTAGTGAGTTAATCTCAATAAATTTAGTGATCATTTTTAGTAAAAAATCTTATTGGTGTTGTCAATTTGATCAAATTGATACAAAATTTAAAATTAATAACTAAAATTGAACCAATTAAAATTGTATGACCAAAATAACATGTTAGGTTTTTGTAATTAGCAATTTCGTTCGATAATCCATTCAATTGCATTTTTATTCGCTTTATTGTTTCTGTCAGTTATGAGAGTTCAGATGCGAATCCAACCGAAGTTGTGCCTGAGTAAAGGAGCTTGTGTTACATTTTGTATCTTGTTTTGAGCATTCTTTATTTGTCACTTTGCTGACTAAGTACTACCCGGTAAGCTCATAGGGGTCCAGGAGGCAGCGCTCCCTGGCAAGTCATTTGTGCGCTCGAACAATAAAGTGGTTCATTCAATATATCTGCCTACGTTCTGAACTTCTGAGAGACAAGTTTTACCGCTCGAGCGATTGGCCTATATTTGAGAACCACCTTTACTCACACTACTCGAGCAGTCTTCACGACTTTGTTTAATATAAAGTGCGCTGTTTGCTCTTTTTAGGATTTAACCTATCTAGATTCTCAAAGAGAGATAAAGTATAATGTGTTCTATATTAGAGGGTGTTTTTATATGAGTTTCATTGATATATAGAAAGTGATCAATTGATCAACGAACTATATAGTGTCAAACATTAAGGGTTTTTTTTCGTTCTTTTATTCACATAAAGATAGAGGTATTCATCGGTGGATTCCGAACAACTTGAGCCTAATGCTTTGGTATATTCTAGAATGGCTCATCATCGTGGATTTAACATCGGCATTGTGAATTCAACATTAGGCAAAGCAATTCCGAGGTGAAGACAGTGGTGAAAGAGGCATATCAGGTTTGGTTCAATTCGAGCGTGGATTCGCTAGATAATTGAAGGATCTCGTGTGTAATTCCTTTTTATCTTCTTAGTAGATAATTTTTTGATTTTGACTCATGATTTTTTTTATTTTATTTTATTTTTGGTCACAATTGAAAGAGTCCAATTGTGGGGTTTTTTTTTTTTTTCACGCTAAATCGATGTCCTGATTTGTCGTTGATTGTTTGATTGAGATTGCTATTCATTATTTAAAATTGAATCATAGACACAAATTAATATTTCTGGGGGATTTCAATTTTTCAAATTGACAAAAATGTAGGGATGAGTGGTGTAATCTGCCCTAATTTATTATTATTATTATTATTATTATTATTATTATTATTATTATTATTTAACAAATCTTAAAGGAACAGAGACAAAAAAAACCAGATATAATCTCGAATTTCAAATCAAATAGAAAGATGCATGGATAGTGTAGTCCCAAAATAATAACTTTGGTTATACACCATAGATTTTATATTCTGAAACAATTTCTGAATCATTTTCTGGTCGATAGACTTTTTACTTTTACTAATTCATATGGTATAACAATTATTGATTGCCACTCTATAATCTATGGCTGCTTAATTATATGTCATATAGATAATTGTTATACTAATAGAATTTTTATGTGAAATTTAGTTTTATAATGTGATAATGACATGTTTGTAAATTATGATTATAATCAGTCTTGTGTTTAAAAAATAATAATAATAATAACTATAATAAAATCACATTACTATAGGGAAATTGACCTATAAATCCCAAAAGGAGGAACTGTAAACTAGTTCAATCCATTTTTTATTTTATATACATGGAAGTCCCATTTGGTGTGGGGTGAGTAATTGTCCATTTGTGGATGGTGTTATAATTGGAATATTTTATTACTCTAATTTCTACTTATGATACATTTGGAAAAAGCGCCCTATAGGGATTTTTGGGTTTACCACACTTGGTATGGAAGTCCACACTTGGAACTAACCGCAACGTTTCAGCCTCCCAAAACTGAGGATTTCGACACTCGGTATGGTAGCCCACATTCAGAACCAACCCAAACATTTCAGCCTCCCAAATTAAGGATTTCAATCAAATCACATTCGGATCCGACCCATACGTTTGAATCCCCAAAATTTCATATTCCGAGCACACACCACTGATTTTGTGCGTTTGTCATTTGGGTTTTTATCGGAGCAACGTTTTTGTCATTCTCATTTGGGGATTCTGTCAAACAGTTTAGCTCCCAAAGAGATTGAGGATTCCGACTAGCATCTTTTGATTCGGTGTGTTTGCCGGAGAGGGTTTTGACGGTGTGACATGTCGTCGCTCTTATATGGATGCGCCACATCCACCTGGGTAGCTGTTTTCGGCAAGTCCGAACAAGGTTTTTCACCGTGCACATTGCATCTTTATGTGGTGACCACATCTATAGGATTCAATATTTTGAAATCATTTCCGTAGGTTTATGGTTTGTGTAAATCGTATCGTATCGCGATTTTGTCATCATTGGATCACATATTATGTAATGTACTTCAAGAAACAAATCAATCCCAAATCAAAAAAAAAAAAAAAAAGCACCAAAGTCCCCCATGAATCCCATGAAATTCGCAATGTATCGTTGTTGTCATCGGAGCAATGTATCATTGTTCTGATTTGGGTGTTCCACATTCGATTGGGTCACTATTTTCGTCAACTCTGATTGGTGTTTCTATTGTTGATGTTGCATCTTAGTGTGGCGACCACAACTATGGAATTCAATATTTTGAAATCATTCGCGTGTGTTTAGGGTTTGTGTTGTATATGTCAGTTTGTATACTGTGATTAAATGGTGGGTTTGGTTTGTCTGATTTATTTTGATTTTGCTTCATTGTGAGTGTGTTATTGTTTGTGTACCTATGTGTTGTATATGTCACTTTGTATACTGTGATTAAATGGTGGGTTTGGTTTGTCTGATTTATTTTGATTTTGCGTCATAGTAAGTGTGTTATTGTTTGTGTACCTATGTGTCACATTAGTCGACCTCCATGGTTATTTTCCCCTCACATGGTTGGTTTTGATGATTGTGTAAATGTTTGTTATATGTTTGGTAATGTGTATTGTTCCATGGATATCTGTGTGTGTCAATTTCCGACCACACTGCTAATCAAGCACTCAGCTGGAGAACACTGGCAGAATAGATTAAGCCTGAATGGCCCGTCACAAAAAGAAGAGATTCCAGCGGTGGTTCGTCCACCCGGGGGCACTCTGACGATCAAGTCAGTTATCTCTCAAAGATAACAAAAGTGCTTAACTCACTATTCAAAGCATTAAAAGCATACCTTAGACCCATGAGGGTGCCTGTCTTTTATAGCCAACACAAACCCAATCCCAATAGAAGCCTAGCTTCAATGGACTTAGGATTACTGCTAATCTTGGACTCCCAGTAAGATTGGGATAAACTCTCTAAGAGTCTTATCTTTACCCAAATTAAAGTCCTCTCTCATTCTAGGACTCTTGTCCCTTATCCGCTTATCCCGAATTCCGGTATTTTCGCAGATAACCTCGGCCTAGCCAAGATGATCTCGGCGTCATGACCAGGACACGTGGCACCTCGGCTGGCACTTCGGTGCCACCTTGGCCACGTGTTCGTCATTCAAAAATTATGTCCCCATAACTACCCCCTAGGTTCTATTACCTCGGCATCCTGAGGTGATGGAACCTATATCATTTCTTCCTTTAATCATGACCGCGGTTTAACTTCAGTTTGTAAATTTTTCTTAAAATTTCAACAAGTGTTAAATATGACCTCGGTTTAACTTCAACTTGTAAATTTTTTTATGGTTTAACTTCAACTTGTAAATTTTTAAAATTTCAACAAGTGTTAAACATGATCTCGATTTAACTTCAACTTGTAAATTTTTAAAATTTCAACAAGTGTTAAACATGACCTCAGTTTAACTTCAACTTGTAAATTTTTAAAATTTCAACAAGTGTTAAACCAACCTTAGCTTGTAAATTCCAACTCCCAATCATCATTCTCCAGCCCTCTTTGGTGCACTACTTCCAGTGTCATTGTGAGTCCTTTTGGACCTCCCTCTATTGGTCATGTCGATGTTCTTTGGTGCAGGTTTCTTTCGTTCGACGTGTCTTCTGGGATTCTCCATGTTGAAGGACTGCAGGAACCGTTTTATGCCCCCCTTTCTGGGCACATTTCTTGGCCGCTGAAATCGACGTATCTTGTAGCGGGAACGATGGCTACGTGACATTGTTCTGTATCATGAAATTGACGACCGTTTGTAGGTCCGCCAATTTGTCCGCCATTCCCTTCATCTCGTCATCCCTCTGCAGGCATCTATCTTTCCATGCCCGGAGATCGTCCTCGTTATAATACCCACTCCAGTCCGATTTCTTCAGTACGCCGTCCTCCTGGCCGACGTCTTTTCCTCCGTGATTCTTATCACGAGTCTCTTCGTTGCAGTTGTTTTCTTCGACGCCAGGGTCAATATGTTTCCCACTCTCAGTAGGGGTGTCGTCCCCAACCTTCTCTTTCTGTCCGTCGTTGGCCATCTATTCTCATTTCTTTCCCACAGACGGCGCCAAATTGTGTGTGTCAATTTCCGACCACACTGTTAATCAAGCACTCAGCTGGAGAACACTAGCAGAATAGATTAAGCCCGAACGACCTGTCACAAAAAGAAGAGATTCCAGTGGTGGTTCGTCCACTCGAGGGTACTTCGACGATCAAGTCAGTTATCTCTCAAAGATAGCAAAAGTGCTTAACTCACTATTCAAAGCATTAAAAGCATACCTTAGATCCATGAGGGTGCCTCTCTTTTATAGCCAACACAAACCTAATCCCAATAGAAGCTTAGCTTCAATGGACTTAGGATTACTGCTAATCTTGGACTCTTAGTAAGATTGAGATAAACTCTCTAAGAGTCTTATCTTTACCCAAACTGAAGTCCTCTCTCATTCTAGGACTCTTGTCTCTTATTCGCTTATCCCAGATTCCAGTATCTTCGCAGATAACCTTGGCCTAGCCAAGATGATCTCGGCGTCATGACCAGGACACATGGCACATCGGCTGGCACTTTGGTGCTACCTTGGCCACGTGTTCATCATTCAAAAATTATGTCCCCACAATATCCATGTGCCACATTGTGGCCACCTATGTGTGGGATGTGGGATGTGGGAGAGTGGATGGATGAGATTTTGGGCGAAGTTGAATTTATTTTTTTTTTTATGTGTGTTTTTTTTGGTGTAAGTGTGGTCAGGTTGGGTGGTTTTATCCACATCATTATGAGGTGAACAATAACATCGAGCCTAACGTAATCAATGGAACTTAAAAAATTCCTTCCAAAACATTCCACCCACGAAGAAAGGGTTAAAAAAAGTTATTAAATCCATTCCACAAATAACAAATGGGTTGTTACGGATCACATTGCCAAAAAAAAAAAAGGGGGAGGGCTTACCAGTGTATTAAAAGAAAAGGAGGACTCCTTAGACTAAAACTCTCCCAAATGAGACTTTTTAATAATTTTTCCATTATTATATATAATAATTTTATATAAATTCTCTGTTTATATAATACTATACAACATTTTACCAAGTTATCAGCTTTCATGTTGCACTAATAATTGTGGCCCCGTTTGGTGTAGCTGTTAAAACAGCGTATAGATTATAGCTTAACAAATTATAGATTATGACTTTAATCAAAAGTTGTTAATCTGTTTGGTGTAACTGTTAGATTATAAATTTAAGTTGCTGAGTAGTGTTTGTTAAATAAGCTGTGAAATAGCTTTTTCAATTAATTTTTATTTTTAATTTGTCTTCATTTCTCATAAAAAATAATAATAATAATCTATAGTCCATTTGGGTATTTTTCTATTTTTAAAAAAATAAAAAATAAAAAAAATTAAGAGTATAACCATAAATTAGCATGTCCACAGCAGAAGCTGATAATCAGAAGCAAGGGATGAACAGCTTCTCAGAATCAGCTTTTTTAAGTTAAAATAAGCTGTTAGAATCAGAAGCTGTTTAAAATAAGTTTAACCAAACAGTCCAAAATAACTTTTTCAAAGCTAAAAGCCAGAAGTTAGCTTTGAAAAGCTGAAACAAACACCCCTGTATGACTACTGTTGTGTAAAATGCAGTGGACTAGTTCATAATTTACTGGTAAAATCTAATTGGAGGTTTGGGCCTCGCACAAAAATTGAAAATGTTTCATTGCAATTTACATGGCATTCTATACAACAAAACATAAAGGCTAAGTGTCCACAGTCTAGAACTCTACTTATAAAGGTAATGTATGATTCATATTTAACTTTTGTATGAGGAAACTTAAACTTGAAATAAATTTGGATAACGCACTCATTCTTTTGAAAAATCTATGGGTATTGAAGGGGCTAAAAATGAAATAGGTCGGGTCCAAGCCTTGGGCCGGCCCAATCCACTAAAGCCTGAATCCAAGTGGGCTGGATGAGTATATAGGCAAACCAATTAAGCCCAACTTCATGATCAACAGTCCACCCAAGTCCTCAAGCACTTGGGTCCAACCCGCAGTGGAAAGGCTAGTCCAGCCGTGGTGCTGGGCTCGGCCGAGCTGCAAGACTGAATCTACAGGCCGAACAGAAAATAGGCCGAGCCCATGCAAAGTTACCTGAATGGATAAGCCCACCTCCATGAGTGATCCTGTAAAAGGCCGAGACAAGGCATACTGATGCCGAGCTGAGGTATATCAGTACCGAACTGAGGAAACCTCGCAAGGAAACGTGGAAACTGTGAACGTGTGCATGTGTAGGTTACCACCTCAGCTGGTCCCCTACACCTAGAATCACGGAAGTTGTTGAACCAAAGGAATGTGGTTTGTTATCAGCATGACTACAATGAGTATATGCATTCAATGACAACTACCAGGTGGTCCCTCCTCTTGAGCAATGCTAAAAGGACACCTGGCAGCATCCAAACTCCATGAACCCACCTTGAGAAGCAAGCAAGGAACACTATATATACAACACGAACTTCACATTGAAGGTAACGAAGAAGACTGAACTAAACTATTCCAAGCAAAATCACGCATAGAGAGAGATTCAACTCTCTATACACTTCTTCTCCGATCACTAATTCCCACACCGGAGGGGTTATCCGGCCAACCCCGGCCGGGCAGCTCTAACGGTGCTTCTTGTTGCAGGAACCTCAGTTCCTGCATAGTCCAACCGAGTGCAGAGCCCTGATCCACTTTCATCTAGTGCGGAATCCGGTACGCACAGGTATAAATTATGGATATAGTAGTACTATTTTTAAAAATACAATGAGTAAACCCACACGACTGGTCCAGTCAGGGGCAGAGCTACATGTACTTTAGTAGGTTCACCTGAACCCAGTCAACTTTGAATTTCTATTACAATTATATAGTATTTTGTAAAAATATTTAGAGGTTTTTGTAAATTGAAACTGTTAAAATTTTTAAAAAAATTAATAGTACACTCAAAATGATGTGCTAATGATAATTTTAAAATTATGGGGATAATCGTGAGTGTTTTATAAAAGAATAAAAAAAATTTAAAAAAAAGTTATCTCATTCTGTATAATTATTTTGTTTATATATCATTATCTTTTTTTGAAAAGTAGAACTTAGTTTTTTTTTAGGTACAACGGAAATAAAAAAGTAGAACTTAGCTAAGACTTTATCCAAGAACATTTGGCTTAATGTTTATATAATACTACTTTGTGGTGTGAGATTGTAGGTTCCAACTATTATGGAAATGAGTTTAATATCATTTGTAGTGTTTATTTCTACTCTTGAGAGTTATAAGTAGTTGATTATTTTTTTCTCAAGTTTAGGCTTGGTGTTTTGTTGGATAGGTTTCGTGGTTATTGAGCTTGGTATATTTTTAATTGTCTAGTTTGATATAATAATTTTTATATTTGTAAGTAATCTTTGACCGAAAGAACCCCAAAAAAAGTTTTAAATTATCTTCTTTTTTTTTAAAAAAAAAAAAACATAGAATCGTAAATGTTTACATTTTATTATCTCTCTTAGGGTCCGTTTGGGAAGGACTAATTTGGCTATTTTAGCAACAAAAGACAAAATAGACTATTTTAACTATAAAAAACAAAACATCACATCCAACTCATAATCATTACACTCTTCTCTCACAAAAAAAAAACTAAAAAAGTCAAAAAGCCAAAAAGTCTTTTCCAAATCAGACTTTTTAACCCAGGCTAAAATAGTCAAAAAACCAAAAAACCAACCCACTTCCCAAACCAACCCTTAATCAATTAAAAATTGCACGGTCTTTGCTCAATTGATAGGAAATAATAAATGTCGATAATAATTAACTAAATGACAATACTAAGGGGTGGTTTGCGATGTTCTAAATAAGTGTACTTTTTGACTTTTTATGAAATGTGGGTTGGGTTTGGGTTGGATTTGAAGTGATGTGGTAGAGAAGTGATGTGACTTAAATAAGATGATGTGACTTAAATAGGATAGTGACTTTTTGACTTTTTAACTTTTTTAGTACATGACAAACAAGGCCTAAGTTAACTTTCTAGCTACGCCACTAGGCCCAGCTGTTAAGAGTTGACCTCAGAAGTCTATTTTATGGTTTTAAATCGCGGTATTAGATAACAAATGGTATCGATCTCAGAGTATCGTATCGGTAGTATCGATTGGTAGATATCAAGAATTGATTGTCACGGCGATGAAATTTTAAAAATCATTTCACAAGTTTTTTAGCTTTTTCTTTCCCATACCGGTCCGAACCGGTAAGTATCGGCCCGTCACGGCTTGTGTAACGGCTTGTGTAACGATTACAGACCGATACATATCGAGACTCGACCGATTCTCTTGTGATTTTCAATCTCAACGGTACACCAGCCTGTATCCGTCACGGTACCCTATTTTTTCCATACGTATCGGCCGATTTTTAGAACCATGCACGAGACACAAAATACTCAATTTTAATTGATAAGCATAATTTACAAGTAATTATGCATATACATAATTTTTTTAAAGATCAGTCATAAAAAATAAATAAATAAATAAATAAAAAGGAACAAGACAAAAAAAAAAAAAAAATACAATGAGTACTATATTCTTGATGTGGACTTGTCAACATTGATGAAACAGGGTGAAAACCTCAGGGATTCCAGGTGATGCAAAGGTGAAATTTGCCTACTCCATCAACATAAGAAAGCTAGTGAATCCCCCACTCCCAGCGGGCTACTGGGGCAATGGCTGCATAGCAATGTATGTCCAACTCACTGCCGAAGACCTAATCCACCAACCCATCTGGGAAACAGCTGAGTTGATCAAGAAGAGCAAGCGCAAAGCCAACAACGAATACGTGCACTCCTTCATCGATTTCCAGGAGCTACATTACGCCGAAGGCATCACAGCTGGTGAAAGGGTGAGTGGATTCACAGATTGGAGGCACTTAGGTCACTCCACAGTTGACTTTGGCTCGGGAGGCCCTGTAACTGTTCTACCACTCTCTAGGAACCTTCTTGGCAGCACCGAACCTTGTTTTTTCTTGCCATATTCTTCAACCAATGAGGGGAGTGATAAGGATGCTTTTAAAGTTCTTGTGTATTTGAGAGAGACTTTTGTGAATGATTTTAGGGCAGAGATGGATAAGTTTAGTCGATTGGATTTTGATTTTCCTTGAATGTACTCGCCCAAGTTATGATTTTTTTTTTTTTAAAAAAAAAGAAATGTTAGGGATACAGAACTCAATCATTGGAAATGGTACAAAAACTCACATGATTATTATGGACCATGTAGTTGTGTGAGTCCCAAATGCGAGTGTTTTGTACCATTTTTCGTCACTGCGTTTCTAGGTTTAATATTTTTAATAATTGGGTTTTGAAGTTGAGCCCTCGTTTGGGTTGAGCTAATTTAGCCTGACTTTTTGACTTTGGCTATTTAGCCTGACTAAAATAGTTATGTTTTGGATAAATTTTGACTCTTTTTTTTTTTTCCTAGTTAATTTGATAATTGTAAGAAAAAAAGTACAATGATTATGATTTAGATGTGACATTTTGTCTTATTGGCTAAATTAGTCTGTTTTGTCTTTATTGACTAATTTAGCCAAAATAGCTGATGCCGCAGATCTGTTTTGCTACATTGGTTGTTCAATGTCTTAAATCTTCTCCATTCTTACAAAAGCTGCACAATCTAATATGAAGATTAGATAGATTGATTTAACTTTGTTAGAAGATCCACTGCCCTATTAGTAATTTAATCAAAAAGCTTCATGATAACAAACATATGTTTTTAGTGGATTGTTCCCTGTTACATGGTTGGAATAAGAAAATTCATTCCAATTTATAAAGTTACACCATATTATTAAAAATTAAAATCAATGATCAATAATTATTAACTCAATTCAAACTTTAGCATCACACTCAAGTGTTTAAGAATTTGAAACAAAATATGTTAAAGTGTGATTATTACAACCATTAATTTCAACACATATATCGCTATTTTATTTATATAGTGGAGAGGATTTAAATCCAGCCTCTTCAACTTTAATCCCAAAATTTATGTAGTGTAAGATACGAGTCACAGCCAACCCGATCCAACCCAACAATTATTTATTTATAAAAACACAGCCATCTACGATAAATAAATTATTATTGTTATTTAGCATAACTTTCAATGATTTTGTTCCAAAACACATCAACCATCTGCTGTAATATATATTTTAACATTTCTTTCCTTGATTTTGTTTTCAACACTTTTTTCTTTTTTTGAGCAACAACAAAAACATAAATATATATGAGACAAGAGTACATACCTTATCTTGATTCTCATCATAACACACCCAAGCATATCCTGCCACTTGCTCTTGTGCTTGCCAAGAACCATTTACAATAAACATACACACCAAAAAATTCTAGTCTCCATCGATCAATCTATGTTAGTGAATGTTCTGAATTTCTGAGTATGAACGGGTTGTATTGTTGGATATCCATGGGTTTTAATGGTTTACCCGTTTAAACCCATTAATAAACCAACATTTTTCATGTACTCATTTACAAAAATAGATCGGCCTAAACCTATTTATTAGGGGTGAACTAACGAGTTTGAGCCCAAATTGCCACAATAAGAAAAGAAGTATTTATTCTCTTTTGACACAAATTCTGTATTATTGTCTTGAGTGATGCTGGAGGCCCCCAGTAACTAGGCACCCCCAGCACCCACTACTAGAAAAAACACTTTCCGTGACGAACATGTTTGGTCGCGAAAAGTACCATATTTAGTTGCTAAAACCTTTTCGCGACCAAAATATGTTGGTCGCGAGTTGGTCGCTAAAGCCTCGTCACAGATAGTTTTCTGCGACCAAAAAAGCCTTTGGTCGCTAAAAGTGACCATTCGTGACCAACTTTTTTGGTCGCGAAAAGTCCAATTCATATTAGCCAAAAGTAAACTTTTAGCGACCAAAGATAAGTTGGTCGCCAAAAGTCAGCGCCTTGACCGAAAAAAAATAATTCTTTTGTGCTCCCTGGGACTTGAACTCCTGACCAAGGAGTCACCATGTACCTAATCCACTCTGCCACTCTCCCAATAACATACTTCATGTTCATATTTGACAAAAAAAATATATAACTCATAAAAATTGGGTTATATATTATTTTATAAAACTTTTAATGCCTAAATAGAAAAATAGCATGTAATTACTGTAGTATCATTTTTTTAAAAAATTTATCCCACCATAACTTTCCGCGACCAACTTTTTTTTTTGGTCGCCAAAGGTAATCTTCCGCGACAAAAAATGCCTCTGGTCGCCAATAGTAGACTTTTCGCGACCAACTTTTTTTTTTGGTCGCCAATAGCATACTTTCCGCGACCAACTTTTTTTTTTGGTCGCCAAAGGGTAATCTTCCGCGACCAAAAAAGCCTTTGGTCGCCAATAGTATACTTTCCGCGACCAATTTTTTTTTTGGTCGCCAAAGGGTATACTTTCCGTGACCAACTTTTTTTTTGGTCGCCAAAAGATGATCTTCCGCGACCAAAAAAGCCTTTGGTCACCAATAGTATACTTTCCGCGACCAACTTTTTTTTTTTGGTCGCCAAAAGGTGATTTTCCGCGACCAAAAAATTGTGGTCGCCAAAAGTTAAATTTTAGTCGCAGAAAGTGGACTATTTGCGACCAAAAAAAAATAGGTGGTTGCCAAAAGTGTTTTTTCTTGTAGTGACCCCCCAATGCCACATGGCACACTGTCAGTGGTTGAAGTCCAAAAAAAAAAAATTTGTTTTCCAGCCAATCAGCAAGGACCCCCAGCACCCCCACTGGGGGTCCAACGCATTTTCCTATTGTCTTTTGGCCATCACTTTCTATTTTCGGGGGTCCAACGCATTTTCCTATTGTCTTTTGGCCATCACTTTCTATTTTCTTTCTTTAGTTTTATAAGAGTAAGGGAATTTTGTTCTTTTTTTATAGGTTAGGCTATTTGGATACATTCAATATTCATTCCATGTGTATGGAGCATCATTATATTTACTTACATTTTAAAATGCTTGATAAATCAAATAAAAAAAGAAACGATAAGAAACATATGTGTGTCAGTCTATATGAAGTTGCCAAATTTATGGTATTGTTGGCTGTAAGATAAAATGATAGAGAGAGAAGGAGAGAATAAATTGTATTGATGAATATTATATATTGATATGATTTACAACACTCTCATTTATAGAGAGGAAATGTGATACACATAGGATACTAATTAACACACACCGAAAGCAGAAACATTATCATTAGTGGGACAGTTGGACAGCTAGATATTGCACACTAATATTACACTAGATATTGCACACTAATATTACACTAACATTGGCTATAGAATGAGATCTTCTATCTCTAAATCACTCATTTATGTTATTAGATCATTTTCCATCGATACTATGACATTTTAAAACATGAAATGGATATCATTTCTTAATCCTTTGATTTCTTTATTATGTGAAATTCATAATAACGTTATTATAACAATTTAAAATGTGAATTTGACAAGAGCACATCAAATAGTGTGCGTCTTTTCAAAGATGTAATATTTGTACATGTCAATTTGCCTACTAATCGTTTTTTTTAATTGACATAATAATTTAAAAAATTTAAATGTATGTTGCTGTAAAGATCTATGTTGCCACTAAAAACGCTTGATGAGATGTTTTAGTGTAACTTATATGTACTATTTATATAAATATGTATATATATAACAGTTTTGATTTTTACTTGTAGTTTATTAATAGAAATAATTTAAATAATTTGTTTTTAAAATTGAATATCTAAGAAACTAGAACAAGGATACTTAGGAATTGTTTGGGGAGTAATTTTTTTGCTAAAATAATTACAATGTAAAATTAAATTATCGCATTACTCTTTTTAATTTTTTACATATATTTTCGACCTAGTTCATTATATATATATATATATATATATATATTTTGGTCGTGGTTGCATTGTTTTCTGTGGTCAATGATGAATATTAAGATACGGGTTTACAGCAGAATTTTATGCAGTATTCAAATTGCTGGAAAATAAAAATAATAATAATAATAATTTGATTTCAGGGCGAAGTAATGGGAGGAAGTTCTATGGAGGAATTGCAATTCCAGTGAAGAAGGGGATGTCTCGGATGACAACACCACCCCGAATTTGTAACGACATAGTTCGATTTTAGTCTAATAAAACATTTGTGAATTCCTTAAATTTCAGGCCCGGAAGCTTGCCTCTAAGGAAAATCAGAGGCTAGTGTACCCATTCTCTGCTATAGTAGGACAAGAGGGTGTCAAGGCATTCGAGCCTGGCCTTCTTGCTAAAGCTAATAGAGGAATTGTATATGTCGATGAAGTCAATTTTTTGGATGACCATTTAGTGGATGTTCTTTTGGATTCAGCTGCCTCGGGATGGAACACTGTTGAAAGAGAGGGAATTTCAATTTCACATCCCACTAGATTTATACTAATTGGCTCAGGAAATCCTGAAGGAGGAGAGCTCAGGCCACAGCTGTAAGAATTTTTTTAAAATATGGCTTAATGTGGCTTATGTATGATTATGCTAGATTCAGCTCATTAAGTAAGATACATGTACATCAATTAGATGGTGACTAATTATTGATGAATGCACCTATATATACAATGTATAGAAGACTAATGTTAATACATTGAATGTGATGGTTTCATTATGAATGAATCTTAGAGATGCATTATGTATCTATTATGAATATGTAAGATACATTAATCTATCTAATTAATTCATTAATATAGAAGATGCATTATGTATCATGAATGTATAAGATACATTAATCTATTTAATGAAGTTCATTGAATGAATGGATTCTTTGATGGGTAGAATACTAGCATAAACAGTGTAAGGTCCCAAACCACACTCTCCATCAAAAACTCAAGTTGTCACCACAAGAAGGCTCCCATCGCCTAGAGAGAAAAGTGGTTTAAAGATCTTAGACAAGTAAAGAACTTGAAGATCAAGGTCTTCCATTCAAGGTTTCTCTTTCTTAAAAGAAAATTTCATACTATCAAGGATCAAGGTATGTATTCACTTAAGTTGTATAGTAGAAATTCATATAGTTTTCATGTATAGAATTGAATCCTTAACGGTTTTTTAGTTTATGTTCCGCAAAGTTTTCTATCAATTGGTATTAGAGCCTGGTTCTCAATTCTGATGCATGAAATGTATAAGTATGAATTTCATTTTATGATGATGTTTGGTGTAACAAGTGCAAAACCTTGATTTACACTTGTCCAATTTGATTTTTATTTTTGGCCAATCTTTTATTCTATTGATATTAAAATAAAAATTGAAAATTATTGAACAAGTGGTAATTAAGATAATGTTTTATGCACTTATAA